CAAGTACAGTTTTCTGTCTTTTACTCCCATCCCAACTCACCCCCCAGTGCTCCCCACCTTGCTCCCATTTTCACCCCCTACAGAAGCATTTTATACTCCTAAAAACTACTAAAGACCCCCCAAAAGTTTTTTATGTGAGAAATACATCATTCAATTACATTTTTAAAAGATTTTAATTAAAATAAATTAACCCATTATTACCATAAACATGGTATTTTATATATATTTTATTGACTATACTTTTACGGTGCCCAATTTGGCCCCCTTTGCCCCCTCCTCCCATAGCCCCCATTCCCTCCAGCATTCCCCCACTTAGTTCATACCCATGGGTCATGCATACAAGCTCTTTAGCAACTCCATTGTTCTTACATCCCCATCTATTGTGTACCTACCAACTTTGTACTTCTTAATCCCTGCGCCTTTCCCCCCCCATTCTTCCCTTTCTGCCCCCAACTGATAACCCTCCAAGTGACCTCCATATCTATGATTCTGTCTCTATTCTGCTTGTTTGCTTAGTTTGCTTTTTAGATTCAACTGTTAATAACTGTGAATTTATTGCCATTTTAATGTACATAACTTTGATTTTCTTTTTCTTAAATAAGTCCCTTTTAATATTTCATATAACAATGGCTTGGTGATGATGAACTCCTCTAGTCTTACCTTGTCTGGGAAGCACTTCATCTACCCTTCCATTCTAAATGATAATTTTGCTGGATAGAATAATCTAGGTTGTAGGCCCTTGCTTGTCATTACTTTGAAAAGTTCTTGCCAGACTGCAAGTTTTCTTTGGAGAAATCAGCTGAAAGTCTTATGGGAACTCCTCTTTAAGCTTCTCTCTTTATCTTGCCCTGGCTGGTGTAGTTCAGTGGATTGAGTGCAGGCCTGCAAACCAAAGGATCACAGTTCCCTTCCCAGTCAGGGCACATGCCTGGGTTGCAGGCCAGTTCCCAGCAGGGGACACACGAGAAGCAATCATACATTGATATTTCTCTCCCTCTCTCCTTCCCTTACCCTCTAAAGATAAATAAATAAAATCTTCTTTTTAAAAAAAAGATTCTCTCCTTATCTTTAATGTTTGGCATTTTAATTATGATGTGTCTTGGACTGGGCTTCCTTATGTCCGTCTTGTTTGGGACTCTCAGTGCTTCCTAGACTTGTATGTCTATTTGCTTCACCAAATTAGGGAAGTTTTCTTTCATTATTTTTTTCAAATAACTTTTCAATTTCTTGTTCTTTCTCCTGTCCTTCCAGCACCCCTATGATTCAACTATTGGAATGCTTGAAGTTGTCCTAGAGGCTCCTTAGCCTATTCCCGGGTTTTGTTTTGGTTTAGTTTTTTTAAATTTTTTTCTTCTTGTTTTTCTGATTGAATATTTTTCCCTCTTTATGTTCCAATCACTGATTTGATTCTTGGCTTCATCTACTCCACTGTTGGTCCCCTGTAAATTTTTCTTTATTTCACTTAGGGTAACCTTCATTTCTGCCTGGGTCTTTTTTATGCTGTTGAAATACCCAATGAGTTCTTTGAGCATCCTAATAACCAGTATTTTAAACTCAGCATCTGTTACATTGCTTATCTCTATCACTGTATTTTTTTGTCTCTTCATTTTGGCAGCCTCCCTGTGTTTGTTTCCATGTATTAGGTAGAGCTTTGACTCCCTGTCTTAGTAGCATGGCCTGTTGTAGAAAAGTACAGTAGGATGGGGCAGAGCCTTAATTAATCACTTGGGCAACCCTGGCTGCTGTGGCTCAATGGATTGAGCACTGGCCAGTGAACCAAAGGGCCACTGGTTCAATTCCCAGTCAGGGCACGTCCCTGGGTTGCAGCCCCCAGTAGGGGCTGCACAAAAGGCAACCACACATCAGTGTTTCTCTCCCTTTCTTTCTCACTCCCTTCTCTGTTCTCTAAAAATAACTAAATACAATCTTTTTTTTAAAGTATGTCTATTAAAAATAGCATAAAAAATCACCTGGGCAGAGCAACCTATGTGAACTAGGTCGATGGAGTCTCCAATATGGTGTCACTGCTCTTTAGCTCTGCAGGAGGGAGGACTCAGAAAGGGAAAAATTCCACTCCCAAAACTCTGGAGTTTTGTCTGGGAGGAAGCTATCCCCTGGCACTTGCCCTGATACCAGACACTTCAGTTTCTCCCCATATGCCACTGGTGTCCTTCCACTACTGCTCTTGTGATGCGGCCCAGAGGGAGTAAATCTGCATGAGTCCTACGTCCATTGTAGGCCCTTTAAGAGGAGATTCCTGAGACTCTCACAGTTTCTTCTACCACCCCAACCCCCACTGGGTTTTTTTTTAATATTATTTATTTATCTTTAGAGGGAAAGGAGAGAGGGAGAGAAACATCAATGTATGGTTGCCTTTTGTGCATCCCCTGCTGGGAACTGGCCTGCAGGGAACCAGCCTGCAACCCAGGCATGTGCCCTGACTGGGAATCAAACTGCGATTCTCTGTTTCGCAGGCTTGTGCTCAATCCACTGAGCTACACCAGCCAGGGCCCCCACTGGTTTTTTATAGCCAGTATTTATGTGAACTTATTTTCCTGGCATTGGAAGCTTGGGCTGGGTGGTCTGGTTGGGGTTGGGATCCCTCACTCCCAAGATATCCCTCCCAAGTTTTATCCACCACACATGGGTGTGGACCACCCTTTCTGCATCTCTGTACCTCCCTGCATTATATTTATGTCTCCACCCCTCCTACCCATCTGGAAGAATGTGACTTCTTTAATTGCTTGGTTGTCAGACTTCCATACAGGTCGATTCTCTCATGACTCTAAGTAATAGTTGTTTTGTAGTCTAGTTGTAATTTTTGCTGTGGTTGTATGAAGAGGAGAGCTGTGTTTACCTATGCCTCCATCTTGACCAGAAGTCCATCAACATAAACATGTTTTTATGAAAAATATATTTTCCAGAAAATAGTAATAAGAGAGGCACTGCTTTACATTTTTGCAAATCTCTTTAACATCTGTCTTAAAAAACAGATGGGTTCTCATATCTACTTCTGCATTCAATCTGTTGTGATGTGTTATATTGGTTGGCATTCATGAAGAAAAGCCAAGCTCATATAGATATATCACTGGAAAAGTGAAGACCTCACAGACTTCCTGAATGGATTTTGAGAACCCCCAAAGTCTGTACCACAGACTGTACCACAGTGGTTTGAGAACCACTGTTCTAGGGATAACAATAAACATCTTTAACTTTTCAGAGAACACCTAGAGTAAATATTATACTATTTCATGTAAAATGTAAGAATTTTGCAACTATAAAGTTCCACTTACCATCCCCCTCAACCTTTATGATGTATTACATAAAGCATAGGAGCAATAAACAGACATATACAATTGCAAAATTCTTTTGTTTTAAACAGTTCAATGTGTTTTAAATAAATTGAGGAAAAAAGACAGCCTCTCATATTCATTCACAGTTATCATTTCCTGTGTTCTTCATTCACCTAAGACTCAACTTTCTATCCAGTAGCATTTCTTTTCAACCTGAAATATTTCCTTGTGTTGCAGTCTGCCAGAAATAAGCTCTTAGTTTTTATCTGAAATTTTTATTTTGTCTTCATTCTTGAAAAATATTTATGCTAGATAAGGAATCCTGGGTTGACAGATTTTTCCCCCACCACTTTAAAAATACCTTTCCATTGTCTTCTGACCTCTATTGTTTCTGATGAAAAGTCGGCAAATTTTTCTCTTGCTAAAAGTACTTTCCATTGACTAGAAAAAGTCACTACTTTTCTCCACCTAAAGTAACAAAGCTTCCAAAGAAGGGAGAGAGAGAGGGTGGGAGTAGCCACAAACCATATACTTCATTTTTGTTTAAAGTCTGCATTTTAAAACCTGAGGCATGTTGCTAACTAAGGCTTGTAAGTAAGATGGGTGCCTATATAATAGCATTTAGAACTCAAATACTGAACAAGGCTCAGGACTTGACCCATTTCTCTGCAAACACCCTTGCCCATGCATGCCTCTCCCTCTATCACTCAGGTGGCAGAACCCCTGACCTAATTATGCCCCATTATCTATCTGCTCTGAGCACTTCAGGATGGATAGTGAAAATCCCACTGTGCTGACCAGTCTTGGTTTAAAGAGAGGACTTCAAATCTTAAAGGAGAGGCCAACATGGTTAGTTAATCTTACCACACTTCCCAGTAAATCTCCTTCTCTTTATCAAAACAGCAATTTCATTTCTTCATCTCACTGCATAGTCATTCGTTAAGGATATACATGCATGAAGATGAGTACTCCCTCACCTTCCCAGACCTACATGCACTGACCTGCTAATCTGTATCCAGATTTCCCTCTCATTATAATGGAAGGAGCATCCCTGCTCCTGGCTATGGCCTATTCCTCCAGTTTGTACTGAATTTTTCCATGTACTGAAATACTTAAAATCTTTGCTGCTGCACTAATCCTCTCATTCTCTCTGCCTGGCTCTGCAATAGAAACACTTTAAGGAAAAGAAGGGGATTAAGAGAGAACCTACAGATTAAAAGACTTAAAAGGCATATCAACTAAACTTTTTAAAAGACCAGACAATACTTAGACTATAATATCTAAGATACACATATGGGTGATAAAACCATCAAGCCACCCAAAGTTGTGATTACTATGAAAGTCAGGGGAGTGGCCACCTTTGCCAGGAGGGAGGTGGTTGGGGCCAGGGCAGAGTCCACAGATGGCTCCTGGGGTGGCTGCATGGTTCTTTTCCAGACCTGGATGGTGGATACAAAGATGTTTGTCCTCTACCAATTAAGCCATACGTATAGTTTGGTTGACTTTTCTACATCTGTGTTTTATTGTGATTTAGGAAAAAATTTTGTTCAAGCCTTTAACACAAGGGTTGGCAAATTCTTTTCAATGAGCAAGATAGTACACATTTTAGATTTTTCAGGCCAGCAGGCAAAATTGTGTAGTACTTATATAACCATTTAAAATGTAACCATTTAATAATGCGTAAGGATAAACCCAAGCGTTACGAACCGAAAGGGTCCACTAATCCTTGAATTTTTGATCCCAGGAAGTTCACATCGTTGAGCTGCACAGTCCAAGCCCCCATGCCCCCGCCGGGTTCCCACAGGAGCTGCTTCCAGTCCCTGCCTCAGGCCAGCACTACTTCCGTGTCTCTTAGCAACAGGTGGACCGGCCTGCCACCTACCGTAGGATCCAAGGTGGAACTGATGGGAGAGCACGCATGCGCACAAGGAGTTCTCAGCTCCATTCACCAGCTCTGGTAGAAAAGGGAAACCACAGGGGCACATAAGACTTGGCACCTCGGCATATTCAAAAGTGTGTGTCCCGACTCTTCCCACAAGTCCTCTTCCACACCCTAATCATTCCAGGTGTCGTCTAGCTAACTAGGGGAGCAGCAACAGCATCACCTAGGTGCCTGCTAGAAATACAGAATTTCCACCTCAGCCCAGACCTACTGAATCTCTGTCTGCATTTTTAACAAAATCCCAGGAGATCCCCATCCTTACTAACATTTGACAAGTGTCGCTTTTACAATCCAGATAAGGCAAAGCCATACATAAATACATCAAGCTAGGAACACCTCTAATAGATTGAACTTTTAACCTAGACACTAAAAGACAGCCTTTATGATTTATAAGAGGAAATTCCCCAAGCTGAGTTCTCTATACTCATTAAGGGTAAAAATTCCCTTGTGTCTCTTCTAATGTTCAGTCCAGGACAGAATGCATCACCGACCTCAGGTTCCTGGTGTCAAAGCCGATGGGGAAATCAGGAAGGACAATTTCCATTCCCAGAGTAAGGGTGTTGCTTCCTGTGAATAACGTGAAAAGAGAGGCTCCAAACAATGGGCACCATGGAACTGCAGGGTAATTGAGTCAAATGGTAACGTAAGGGTAATTCTAGACGCAAGGAAGGCAGCACCCAAATCCAGCTGAACGAGCTCCCAGGAAATAGACCCCACTTGCATTTTAAACTTCAAAATGAAAATCCTACTAAGTCAGTAGGTAAGTACTCCTGGGAGAAGTTCCCAGATCAGTAACTCCCCAGTCTCATAAGTTCTTTCCATCTTCATCTATCTTGGGAAACTGCAGACCTCAAGTTTAACTTCCTCATCAGATGACTGGCAAATCAGAACGGACACATCCCAGTCCTAGGAGAACCACTTCCCTTCACTGGGAAATATTAAAAAGACTGACTTACCAAAGAACACACAAAGAAAATGATCATTTTTTTTAATGGCAAGGATCAAATAGTTCGACTAGGGAAAAGCCCTTCTTCAAACAGGAAACAACTCACAAAACATAGTTCTAAAAACCCATGAGACATGCTACAACGTGGATAAACTTTGAAAACATTATGCTGTGTGAAAGAAGCCAGGCACAAAGGACTATATATTATATGGTTGCATTTATATGAAATGTGCAGAATAGGCAAATCCACAGAGACAGAGAATAGATTAATGGTTGCCTGGGGCTGGGAGGGATTGGGGGATTAGGTTAATGGATAAGAAGTATGAGTTTCTTTCGGGGATAATAAAAATGTTCTCAAATTAATTGTGGTGATGAATGACAGTTCTGTGAATGCACTAAAAGTCACTAAACTATACACTTCAAATAGGTGGGTTGTATGGTATATGAATTATACTTCAATAAAGCTTCTTGAAAAAAAAACATGGCTCCACACTAGTTCTACATTAGTCTAAAAACATGTAGTTCCTACTCTTATGCAAAACCTGCCCGGGCAAAGTCTGAAGAAAAAAGAAAGTTGGTATCAGTACTAGGTAGAGGGCCCAGCTAGATTTCCCTAGCAAAACATTCCCATCTTAGTTTGGGGAAGAATTTCACAGTCTTGTCTCAAAACCATCAGTCTCATGGAAATCCCCACCTAGCTTTAGGTTCCTGTTTCAAAGACACTGGAAAAACCAAAACAGGCAAAACACACTTTCAGAACAACACCTTTACATGGATGAGGGAAGAAACAGAGGACATGGGACAGATCAGAATACAAAGTTAAGAATTCACTATCATTGTAGAAACTCCAGTTCAGAAAAGACTACAGATTTCCCAAGGAAGCTGTGTTTCAAAAGTCCCTAAATAACTCACAAAGAATGGTAGCCAAAAGAACCCACCTGATGGCTGAGGCCTTGTAAGTGACCACACTGACCTCAGCTCTTCCGCCCCTATTGGATTTTCACCTTGGCAATTCTCCTCTCAACCTGTTTAATTTCCCAAACCAAAAGCAGGGAATTGTGAGGAGCCCTGTGAGCACTCTGGACCGCATCACAAGGGCCTGCCTGGGTGCGCCTCGTGGTCACAGCTGTCACTCTGGAAAGGAAAACAGAAGGGGGAGATGGAACTCTATCCCACTTACCCTAAAGCAAAACATACAAAACCCTGGGGGCATTGGGATGCTCAGAGAAATCTCTACAGCTATCAGCTAACGGCTTCGTCCTGCCCTGACAAATCAGGATTCTCTCTAATTAAAAGATCAAATGTTATTAATTAATTAATAATGGAGCAGATGCTATTTGGCTTCTACCTCTGCTAGACTCCTGTTCTAAGGAGTCTGCTTCAGTCCCTAAAAACAAAAAAAGGCGATTTCCACTGTCAAGGACACAAGGAACTAGCAAGTACCTGGAAGAGTGCTGGAGCACATAACAGGTATGCAATAAATTCGTTGAATGCCTCTAGAATGAATGCTGATATTAACTCCCTCTGCACTCTGGCCTTCTTCTCTAAACCTGGAAACGCGCGTGTGCGCGCGCACACACACACACACACACACACACACACACACACACACGAAGTTGAACCCACGCCTCTTCACTGCAGCTCCATTTGTATATAACCTTGCAAAAGTAATAAAATTAACAATTACTGCTACAATAAAGGTTTATGGGGTCAGGAATTTATGTTAATTGTTACTACCGTACCCTGAGTGCCTAAAACAATGTATGGCACATAACAGGCTCACAATGAATATTTGCTTAATGCCGAATAAATTACAACGTGACAGGTCGTTCATACTCCCGCGAGGGTCCCCTTCACAATCATTTCCACAACGGCGGCAGACGCTGCCTGGAGTCCTCCCACCACGAGGAGCCGCTGTAGGAAACGCCCAGCTTCCTTCCGACGTTACCGTTTATCCCCCGCGGTGCCCTTTGACCCCGTAAATTCTCTGCCCCAAGTTAAGATGGCGGCGTCAGTGGCAGCTGCAGTCGGTGGACTGCGGCGGGCCATTCGAAGGTCGCCCTCATGGCTGGGCCCCAGTCGACGGCCGCTCTCATCCGAGCCCCCTCCAACCCAAGCGACGGCCGTACGTGACACCTTCCTAAGCTTCTTTCGGGACCGCCATGGCCACCAACTCGTACCATCTGCTTCCGTGCGACCCCGCGGCGACCCCAGTTTACTTTTCGTCAATGCCGGCATGAACCAGGTAGGGGCGGGGTTTGTGATTTTTTTTTTTCCCTGAGGGAAAGGCGCTACGGGATTGGGCGAAGAAACAAGGGGCGGAGCAGTAGCTTCTAGGGAAAGAGGGTTTTGGTTGGGTTAAGTGATTGGGAGCACGACCTAGGTTTTGGGAAAGACTCGGTCTGGGAACTTCTCGTTTGGAATTGAGTTTTAGGCCCAGGAATCGGGGGGAGCGGGGGTGGAGGCCCATGGGGGTTATCTGGTGGAGGAAGTCTGGCTTCATTTATTCCTTCTTTGAATAAAGATAAGTCATTCATTACGTGATTATGGTATTGAGCCCATGCGAAATGCTAAACTACGTTCTCTAAACCTTTGGCTTTGAGCATGACTTACCCTCCCTAGACTTGGTTGTCTTCATCTGTAAAATGGGCATAGGAATGGGAGAGGGGGAATTGGTTAAGATTAGAGGCTGGCCAAGATCCCTATTAAATACTGACATTGTACGCATGCCCAGACTCAATTTTGTAGCCTATAGTTATTGGGTGAGGTTGAAGAGGCTGAGATGGAGGATGTAGCCATTCATTGCCCTATTCCAAGGCACCAGCACATCCCTCCTCCTCTTATCTTGCCTATCTCACCAGCCGAGGACCTCTGTTTCATGATTTATTCTCCCCTTGTATGCCCCACACACAGCAGAGATAGGTGCCCTTAGACTCCCAGGTTGCCCCCCTGGCCAAGATCACACTGCACTCTCAGGGGCAGTCAGCCTTCAGTTTAAACAACTCTCTCTGCCCTCACTCCCCACATTTCTGTTCTGATGAGGGTCTGGGGTATCCTTTCCTCCTTCTTCACATGTTCCAGTTCAAGCCTATCTTCCTGGGCACTGTGGATCCACGAAGTGAGATGGCAGGCTTCCGACGTGTGGCCAACAGCCAGAAATGTGTGAGGGCTGGAGGACGTCACAGTGACCTTGAGGATGTGGGCCGAGACCTGTCCCATCATACCTTCTTTGAGATGCTTGGCAATTGGGCATTTGGGGGTGAATATTTTAAGGTGAGTCTCCAGAAAGTTCTGGAGTTAGGGAAGGGTCAGCAGTCAACCAAGAAGGGGGTTAAGGTAAGTCTTCTCTCCACTCCTAAAGTCTGCTTAGGCAGGACCTCACACCAGACACAGGCAAGGTGTCTGTGAACATATATAATAGGAACATATTATATATGTTCCTATTGTAGGAACAAGATGAACATATATAATAGGAATGTGTCTCATTTCCCTAATTGGATTATAAGCTGCTTGAGCCAGGACTGTGCCTCCTGACTCATGGCTGGTCAATAATTGTTGTGTGAATAAATAGACAGTAATACTCAAATGCAGGATTTAAAAATCATCCTAGGCTAGACAGGTTAGAAGATTTCATGGAGAAGGTGGGACTTAAAAGAAAGGAGTGGGGAAGCTTTCTGGGCAGGGAAAAACTCAATAGAAATGATCATAGCTTATTTTAGAAACAAGGTAGACAGTGGAAATGGTTTTGTCTTAAGCTGAGGGCTGAACTCATGTGGCTTGATCAATGCTTCAGTGGGGCTTTCTTCTCACCCACCTTCCTCTTCCCACCCCATGTGGGTTTCAACTGCAGGTGGAAGCTTGCAGCATGGCCTGGGAACTGCTGACTCAGGTCTATGGGATCCCCGAGGACAGGCTATGGGTCTCCTACTTTGGTGGTGACCCCAAGGCAGGGCTGGACCCAGACCTAGAGAGCAGGGACATCTGGCTCAGCTTAGGGTAAGTTCACCCTCCCTAATGTTTATTCCTGGAGGGCAGGAGGACTGGAAAATAGATACTATCAGCATATCCCACGAGACCGTGGGGTTAGTCCTGTTCTCCTTTTGCTGAGCTTGGTGGAAGGCTCTCATGGCAGAGAAAGTCCCGCTTCTGGGTTTGTCTGTCTCCCCACCACCCACCTTGCTTTCCTTCTAGGGTATCTGCCAGCCATGTGCTTTCCTTTGGGCCACAAGAGAACTTCTGGGAGATGGGGGATACTGGCCCTTGTGGGCCCTGTACGGAGATCCACTATGACCTGGCTGGTGGGGTAGGAGCCCCCCAGCTGGTGGAGCTTTGGAATCTGGTCTTCATGCAATATAACAGGTAATGGGGTGCTGAAGCAGGAGGAAAATGTCTGGCTGGAAATGAAAAAGCTAGCAGTCAGGAGCCTTTAATCCATTTCTTATAAAAACAAACAAGCCCTGACTAGTGTGGCTCAGTTGATAGGGCATCGTCCTGCAGAGCGAAAGATCGATCACCAGTTTGATTCCCAGTCATGGCACATGGTTGGGTTGCACATGTCTGGGTTGCAGATTCGGTCCTGGTTGGGGCACATTTAGGAGGCAACCAGCTGATATTTCTCTCTCACGTGATGTTTCTCTCCTTTTTTTCTTCTTCCCTTTCCCCCTCTCTAAAAATAAATAAATAAAATATTTTTTAAAAAACCCAACCACTTAAATGGTACTTACTACGTGTCAGACATATTTCTGAACACTTTTCAGATAATAACTGATTTGATTTAATCCTAGACATTACACATAACAGTTTAAACTAGTCACCACTGCTCCCTGGCCTCTGCTTTCTTATCAAATGATAGAGTTGAACTTGATGATGTCTTAAGATTTTCTTCCGGCCTTGACATGCCTCTTTCTAAGGGAAAAGAATTTTGTCCCAGAAAGGGGCTCTCTGGTTCCAAGCAAGGGCCAGAGGGGGCTGAGGGGAGATATCACCCTTTATGAGAATGGACAGGACTCATGGCCATCACTGTCTGTGTTTGGGGTAGGGGGTTATGCTGCCCTCTGGTTCCTCCCTCTGTCAGCCTCCTTGAACCCTACCTCATTCCTCTACACTTAAGCATCTGCCTCACACCTGTAATCCTGTGTGGGGCCTCACCTTACACACCTTCCCTTGCCAGAGAGGCAGATGGAAGTCTGCAGCCCCTGCCCCAGCGGCATGTGGACACGGGAATGGGCCTGGAAAGGCTAGTAGCTGTGCTGCAAGGCAGACGCTCCACCTACGACACTGACCTCTTTTCCCCGCTGCTCAACGCTATACACCAGGTGAGCCTACCTGTTCCCTTCCAGAGGCCTCTCTGGCCTGCTAATCACCAGTGCTTTTGGAATCTGGTCTTCATGTGACACAGCAGGTAATAGGGTGCCGAGGCAGGAGGAAAATCCCTGGCTGGAAGTGAAAAAGGTAGCAGTCAGGAGAGTGGTGGCAGCTGTACTTCTAGGAGTTGGCTGGTGTCATTTTGGGGCAGTGGGGGTGACCAGACCATGTGTCTGTCATCCCACAGCAGGCTAGCTCGGACTTCTTCACATCCCAGCCCAGCAAGGTTATAAGGAGAGCAGACCCACGCAAGGCCTCTTGAGGCCTAGGCTCAGAACAGTGTCATTTCTACCACATTCTGTTGAACAAAGCAAGTCACAGGCTAGCTGAGATTCAAGACATGCTTTCCTTGATGGAAAGCAACTGTTAAGTCACACTCACTGAGAAGTGGCATGTGCACAGAAAAGGAAAGGATTGTGGCCACTTTTGCAACAATCTGCCACAGAGAGGAAGGCTAGAGTCCAGTCTTGTGGGATCTAGAAGTCCCAAGTGGGCTTTAATTCTGAGTGGGGCGAGCAGGGCTCTGAGTGGAGAGGAACACGATCTGACTGACACTTTAGAAGGCTGCTGCTTTTGTTGTGTGGAGCCTGGGCTGGAGGGAGACAAGAGTAGAAGCCGAGAAAGCAACTGGGTGGCTATTTCATAATCCAGGGAAGAAACAGTAAGGTGTGGCTCAGGCTGGTAGTAGTGGAAGTGGAGAAAAGTAGATTGATTTGAGAGATCTCATGTGGGTAGAAGCAAAGGCCCCACTAGAGGGTTGGATGGGAGAGGAAGGAAAAGACTGGTTCCCAAGTGTTTGACGTGAGCAATAAGCTGAGTGGCAGGACTGTTTATTGAGAGGGGGCAGCTTGGGGAAGAGACAGGTCTGGGGCTGCACGAATCTAGCCCTCTCCTCTGAAGATTACACATGTACACTCAGCTTACACTGAGCCTCTCTGTCCCCCATAAAGCCTGCAGAGGCAGGTGTGGACAACGGAAAGCACTGGAGTCGGACAGGCCTGGTTCACATCTCAGATCTGCTCCGGAGTTGTGTGTGGCCTTGTGGCACTTAGATCCTCTGAACCTCTGTTTCCTCTTAAAGTGAGGATAGTAATACCCCCCAGAAGAGGATATTTTAGGGGTTAGATGTCATGTCATCCAAACACCCACACAGTTCTATAGTAGAAATCCAGTGAATGATCACACTTGTGATGATCGTTAGTGTTAATGTGGGCCCTTGAGGGCAGGGTCTGACTCCCATTTATCTCTGAAACTTCTCCAGCCAGGTCATTCCAGATGTATTCAACTTTAAGGGTGCTGAATAGCATCCCACCTGGGCCAGGTCAGGCAGGGCTGGCAGCCATATCTCTTTCTCTCCTGCTTTCCAGGGTTGCAAGGCACCGCCTTACTTGGGCCGGGTAGGGGCAGCCGACGAGGGCCGCACAGACATGGCATACCGTGTAGTGGCTGATCACATTCGCACACTCAGCGTCTGCATTGCTGATGGTGTCTCCACTGGAATGTCAGGCGCCCCGTGAGTCTGAAAGGACTACAGAGAGGGGCAGGTGCAGCTGGGGCTTGCAGGGGAGAGGGAGGAACAGATGAGAAGGGTGTCGGGTTGAGATGGCATGAGGAGCCGGGGAAGGGAGAGAGAGGGCTTTGGGGTAGGAGCATATACAGGACCTTGCTTCCCCAATTCCCGTGCTGCTGACCAGGGGCTGCTGGAGGTTCATATCTGGGTTCTGAACCCTTCTAGGCTGGTTCTTCGTCGGATCCTCCGTCGAGCAGTGCGGTTCTCTACAGAGGTGTTGCGGGCACCACCTGGCTTCCTAGGCAGCCTTGTACCTGTAGTGGTGGAGACACTGGTAAGGGCAGAGCCTCCTCACTCCTCTGGGCCTCCCTGGGCA